AGTAAATCAATTCTCATTTTCAACCACACATTCTTCAATAAAATAATATTTTTCACCACATCAATAATTTTTTCTTCTTTTTCAACCACACATTTCCCATCATATCACTATTCAAAAATCAATTCTTTCCCCAAAAATTCCTTCCAAACAAGCTAATAGTTGTATTATTTAGTTAACTTTAACATTTATATTTTACTATATAAAAAAAAAAAACAGTATTTATAGTAAAAAAAAAAGGTTGAAATGTATAATCTAAATATTTATTTAAAATAGACACGTGTCATAATTTCCTCAGTAAAATAGTAGGAGCTAATTAACCGCTAATATTAATAAAACAACCCTCCATTTTCTCCTTACAATTTTTATGAACAACTAATACAGAATAATAAAAATATCATGGAGAATATTACGACAATATTTTCATACGTTTAAAAAGAGAAACACAGGATATAGAAACGAACTATATTCAAGACTTGCATAGTTTTATAATTAAAAGGGTTTTTATTTATACACTTATTTAGAGTATTATCCTCCAAATTATAGTGAAGAGACTCCCTGGAATGCTAGGCAAAAGAGCACTAATATTCTCATGACACAGATAAAAGTGAAAATATTACAGATTCTGGTTACTTTCCCTGTAATGAAAGGAGTGGAAAAGGTATAAATAAGTAAAAACATTACCTAGGTCTAACGGTGTGAAAGACTCCACTGACAAGATCATTGCCAGAAATATCGTTCGAAACATAAGAAGTTTTTAGTGCAGAGGACGAAGATGTTGGAGTGAAATCCTTTTCAGCATCAGATACTATGGATTCTAACATCATGGTATCAGATTCTGGTACCATTAACCATATGCTTTCAAGTTCTCTAACCACTTCAACCATTGAGGGTCGGGCGTCTGTATCATCGTGGCAACAGCTGAGAGCTAGCTTTATGAATTTCACAGCACATTCAGAAGGATAAGATCCCATATGTTCATCGATGATAGAGAATATCATACCAGAAGAATATGCAATGTTGACCTGGTGAAAATAGACGACCATTAAGTAAAGTTAATCGTCCAACAACTCTTTTTTTTTTGAGGGGAGATTAGTAAAACAGCATACAGTTAAAATAAAACAGTTTTGCATCAACAATTAAGCTGGTACAAAATATAGCATCACAAAATTTCACGCATATTGCTATCTATTTTACCCGACCATGCTTGGCTAATCTTTTAAAAAAATAAAGTTAAAATTAAGTAACTTTTTTTCTTCAAATGGTTCGGATACTTGTTTCTTACTTTTAAGTAAAAAATTACTTTTCCAACTTTGACCAACAAATATATAAATAAAAATTGTTTGCTTAAAAA